CTTAACAAGCACAAGGTGAAAACTGCTCACCAGTACACTCAATTGTTAACAACTTGTCCTATGAAGATATAGCTCCAGGAAGCAATTCCAGAATATTACTAGCTTATAGGCAAATGCATCTATAACAGCTGTTATGTTGAAAACATCTCTTACCAACAGCTGCATCTTTTATCAACTAAAAGCCTGCAGCCAACTTTTGACTGTTAACCCCACTGCACATGACCCTCAAAACAGTATCTAGCTCCTAATCAGCAGGGTGTGAAAGTTTTTCTCTTGTCGATGCCTTCACTTCCAATCCCATCCTGCATCCCTAACGTTAGGGTTGTGACACAATCTTCTGTCCTTTGGGCTTCTTTCTCAAGCTCTTCCCTTGCTAAGGAAGCAAGCCAGGGAGAGCCGAGAGAAAAACTGCAAAAGTTGGAGGAGTACTTGTTTTGCAACCTGGTTGCACAAATCAAGCTGGGTATCTGGAATGAGACAAATGTGACCCGATATTCAACAATTAGGGACTGCTTTTGGTGAAGATGCTCAGAGCTTTGAGCAGTGCATGCTTGCATGCTCTGCAAACAGAAGTGGCGTTCTCATACAGCCCTATGTCTCCACCTTGTTTCTGGATAGTGCCCGACAGCCATACCAAAGCTGCTCCTCCACACCCATCTGTCCCTATTGTGCTTCTATCCCTTTCTCTCTCACTCGCTAGTATTTTTACTCCACAAATAAAAAAGGATTCCTGAGCCGCTTAGAGAGCTCAATCAGGACAGTGCTCCCCTTAAGCATACAGCTGAATGGTACATGGTCCAAAATAGAAGATACGACCTGAAAAAAAAGAGATTGGGAAGAAGGAGAGAAACAAGCAAACTCAAGCAGTAGCCCATGCTTACAGCATTCTTAAAACAACCAGCTGGGATGGGAACAGTTCAAGAAGAGGAAAAGCCAAAAGTTGCTCGTCTTTTCATCTCCCCGTCTGTTGCAGACTGTTAGAATGGCCACTGCTAGGTGACAGTTGATGGAGGGAAGAGCCCGAGGCTCCTTGTGGGGGCAGAGAGGGTATCCTGTTTCCCTGTCTCTTGCACCATTCATGTCATACTATGTTTGCAGGTCTTGAAAGCACCGCAAGACTCAGTGAGGTTCTGGAAGATAAGAAGAACAGTGCCGGAAAGTGCAAGAGCACTCTGTCGGAACAGTGCCGGAAAGTGCAAGAGCACCATCTAGTCCAGCACTCTGTCTATGCATTGGCCGACTGGCTGCCTGCCAGAAACCCGCAAGCAGGGCAGGAGTGCAATGGCTCCCTCCGGCTCAAGCTCCCCAGCAGTCGGTGCATGCAGGCATGCTGCCTCCGCTAGCATAGGCCGCATATAGCCATCAGGACGAGTAGCCATTGATCGCTTTCTCTTCCAGGACTTTGTCCTATCCCCTTTTGAAGCCACCCAAACTGGTGGCCATGTTGACACCCTGTGGAAGCACATCCTCCAGTCCAGCTATGCATTGTGTGCAGAAGTACTTCCTTTTATGCATCCTGAATCTCCCACTAATCAGGTCCCAGGTTCTAGTATTACAACAGGGGAGGGAAAGTGTCTCCTTATCCACTTCACATTATGCATAATTCTGAACAGCTCTATAATACCTCCCATTTTTTAATATTTCAACTGTAGGAAACTTTCCTCATAGGGGACTAGCTCCAGGCACTTCAACATCTTAGTTGCCTCTTTGTGCACTTTTTCTAAGTTCACATCTTTTTCAGGTGAAGTTACCAGGACTGTACATACTATTCTAAGTGTGGCTGAACTATAGATTTATATAAAGGCCGAATGACATTATGGCTAATATGTTTGCCTTTTTCACAGTAGCTGCACGTGAGGTCAAGATTGTCACGAGTGGCCTATCACAAGTCCAAGATCCTTCTCTAGGTCAGTCACAGCCAGATCCTATCAGCTTAACTCGAAGTCGGGATTTTTTGCCTCAGCCTTGGAAAACAAACAAACAGAAGTCTTCACACCAGAAAAAGGATGATAGCATTACATTAAGATAGCTAGCATTATCAGTGCAACTTCATTGCATTCAGACATCAAAATATCAGAGCTGGGGGTTGAGGGAGACATGTTTAGGAAGAGTGATGGCCTTCTACACACCTCAAAGTGATCTTGGCTCTTTCCCTCTCCTCTTTGGTGTGTGTGCTCTGACCGCCCTGTCCAAAAACTGCTTTCATGCACGTACACATGCACTTCTGTCTACACTGCCTTCTCCAAGCGCTGATGGCCGTCTCCTTCAAGAGAACTCAAGAGAGACATCTACATGACAGAAGATGATCACATGCTATTAGCTCTCATTAACAACATATGAACTAATCGTCCTGGTTATTGCTCAGCATATTTAACAATCTGTCGATAGGGGAAAGGGTGTTTCCACCATTTCATATATACTTTGAGGGTGAAGGGAAAAATAATTCCCTTCACTTGGAGGGTGAAGGGAAAAATAATTAATTTTTTATACTTCAGTATTTTATAGCTGTGCTCTTTTTGCACCTTTCCTCTATAGGAAACACTGTTTATCATTCCTTGTAGCTTCCAAAAGCCAAACAGATGCCAAAGACTAGAATGCAGGTGATGATATGCCGCACCCTTAACAGAGTACCGTTGGGTAAGGTCCCTGTCTCAAGGAACTTACAGTCTAAAGTACAGCACAGTAAAAGCAACAAAGGAAAGGGAAGGAATTGAAGACAGGAGTTAACAGAGAAGTAATGTGTGGGCTTAGCATTAGTTTCAGCCATGTTACAGCAAGGCATGGGAATTAGGTTGTTCTGTGAAAGGCTTCATAGAAAAGCTGCGTTTTGAGGATGGATCTGAAGGCTTCATGATCGCATGATCCTACGATTCTGGAATTGAGTCAGGTGAAGCAGCATCTTTCCCATTTTATGGGAGACAGATCCAGGCACATGGTACAAAAGGGTAGAGACTTTTGGGGGAGCAGAAGGCCTTCAGGTGGCACGGTGGGTGGAGTTCAAGGAAGCAAGTTGCTTTTGTTTCATTGCTTTTATGGGAGAGTTATATCAGAGCTGATGTACCCCAGACCCAGGAGACAATTTAGGCTACCTGAGGTCTTAATATGCTCCTCTGGGGCCACCAGGTGGCCATATTGCTTTTCCCAGTGCCATCAATTTCCTGCTCCCCCGCAGATAAACTGCTTGGTGGTTTGCTCTTTCTGCTTGTCTTTTCCTCATTCCAGTAAGTTGAAATGACTCTCTGGAGGCTTAATTAATTGGTGGTAAGAGCTTTGAGTTAAAATATGTTGGCATGTTTTATTTTTTCTTCTTCTTTGGTCTCATGCTTTTTGCTTTACCCTCAAAAAGGCTACCCCTAGGAACCCCTCCAAAACTGAATTTGGTCCTCAGGGTGAAAGATTTTCATTGTCCCTGGTTGCCTAAAGTACATCAATAAAGGTTGCTAATTTAAGTTTAACCCATTGGGACTTTAAGGCTATGTGGGAAGAAACCAGCTGTATGTGCTTAGTCCCAGAGTGGATTTTGGGCAGAGTGACTGTATGGAAATGGAATGGGAAGTCCTTTCATGGGTTGGAACATGTACTCAACGAGCAAGTTGTGGTTGATGATGTGCTGTCCCAGGAGGACTGAATTCATACACACTTTGCTCATTGTCCCTTCAGATACACGGCGGCACACAGTTTCCTCTGCAGAATTTATTTTAGTTTAATTTTGCTAGCAACTCCTAGTTAAACACCCTCTTGCCAACAGAGCAGGAGAGTTTTGCATCTTTTTAATCATCCAGCTGACTAAACTTCATTGTGTTGACCTTGATCTTAAGGAACCCTCTGCTTTCTTGCTGTGAGGGGAAAAAAGGATGACTGTAATGAAACACCAAACAGAGTTGCCTGCTTTTCATAGGTCCTCAATGTTCTTTGATTAAGGGAATTTTTTCTGTAAGGTGGCTCAGGGAACATGAGTTAGAATTGTATTATTAAGAGAAAGAACAAAATCACATCATTTACCTTGTACAAAGTGTTTCCAGTGAACAATGTTTGTATGTTTGCCCTTTTGCTTTAGCTGAAGCTTCAAAGGCTATTTTCTGCACATACAGATCTAGCAGATGAAAAATAGTACCAAACTTCAAATTAAGTAAAATGGTTTACAGAACTGACTTAACTGGGGTGGCGGGAGCTGCCTGTAGGGATTGCACCCCCACACATAGTGAGAGGTAGTGTAGAATGGTGAGTAACAGTGCGATTCCATGCATGTTCCTCAGCCCATAGGAGGAAATCCCCAGTTCAAATCTCTTTCTTTATGAAATTGCAAGTAGCATTGGGGCAGCCATGAGATGCTGCACTGCACCAGACGGTCTTGGTTGCTCCTTCCAGATGTTTATTGGTTATTTCTCTGCTCGGCTCCAATAATGCTCTGCTCCCTCCAACTCCAATAATGCTATCTTAGCTTAGAGGGTCATTTCATGGAGCACTGCGAGTACATGTGTCAACCCTACATTCTAAAGACTCACAGTAGATCAGATTTCTATATTAAGGAAGTGATCTATGTTAAATGACACATTCATTTGAGGTGTGTATGTCTGTTTTAATTTAGATTTTCTTCCAATATGTAAATATATTTTCTCATGGCAGATCAACAGTGTATTTTGAAATGTTTCCCAAGAAATAAGAATATATATATATATATATATATATATATATATATATCCCTTGTTGATTTCACATTCATTCCCCCTGTCATCCCTAAGTTGCTACTGTGCTCTTCTCTTTCACGCAGTAATTTCATTTTCATGGCAATTACACTCCAAAGACACGCCAACTTACAGCTTGTATCATCAAATCACCTCTATTATGTTTATGGGGTTCAATATAAGTTGAGCTGTTTTCTTCATTTTCATCCCTCCTTGATTTGGCAACATTCTAATTAGTTTGTCGGAGAGACATTTACACAATCTATGGCATGGATGTTAAGCTGCTTTTTTTTTTTTTTTCCTAAATTTATGCAGGCAAGACTCCATAATGTGTGAAGCTGAACTGACTATCCTGGGAGTAACTACAAAGACAAGCATGCCCAGCAATAATTGGTCGCCTTTTGTTTGGCAAGAAACAGGACCGATATTCATAGGTGGCTTACCTGAAAATTACACAACAAAGCAGGTATTACATTTCCTATCACTCTAGAAAATCAAGCCTATCATGTTTCTGGCATACTTTCAAGAAATGCTATATGCAAACAATCTAGAAACAAGCATTTTGAAATCAAAGTTAAACTTAAAACAGAATTTGCCTAGATATTAGTTTGTTTGAAACCAAAGTAGTATGGCTGGTGTCCAGCTTAGGAAAACAAACTACTAACTCCATGAAAGTCGAGCACTTCTTTTTTAAAGGCAACAGAGTATTCCCTAAAATGAAATGAATGGAAGCACTTCTGTTGTCATTTGATGGACTGAAAAGCAGCAAGTCACATTTCCAAATGAATAGATTAGAAATGTGAATGGCTGTGATCCTAGTTCCTTTTCCACAGGTACAGATGTTAACATGCCAAACAATATGTTAGTAAAAGCTTCCCAGGGCTTTCATTTTTTTTCCAGAGATGCGAAACATCCATTTGTAAAGTTGTGGTGCAATGAAAGCATGCTCAGTGACCACATAATGCTGAGTGTCTTCAAAATGGCTTCATTTTAAGAAAGAAACAATTTTACACAGATGAAAATGGCTATTAGGGAAAGGAAATGACTAAATATGTCCTATTCTGAGCTGAAATGTCTATGTGGTATGAATATGTTAGAAGTGCATAATTATTCATGGACCTGTGAACCATTTTTCTGTTGTGTAGTTTTTTCTCATTTTAATTGGCTTAGAAGCACCCTTCATCTCTTCTAATAGTGAGCTCAGTTGGCATTGTATGCAAAACAGGGCCACTTGGAAACACAAGCTTGCATGGAGGAATCAAACAAAAATCTTGAGCAGGAAGAACCATAAGGGGGAAATCTACTCCCAGTTCCCCTAAGGACTGAACGTGACCCATGACCATATAATTCTGAGTGTCTGTTGAGAAGGGTGAGCAGGGGAATGGAGAATTTCGGAAGGGGGCATGGCTGGCTGGCTACAGCAATGAGCAGTAACAGTACACTGCAGTATTGTTGCAGATCCCACTGGATAAGGAAAGTCAGGGAAGGGAATGGCTGGGCTTTACATTTTTGTTCTGATTTTATTGGAACAGTTAAAACAACATAAGCCTGCTTCTTCCATGTTATTCTATAGCTTCTATGCTTTGGTTTGATAGATTTGTATATGAGCAACATCCATACACACACACACACACACACAACCATTTAATAAGGAGTGGCTCTCCTACTGCCAATTATAAGCAACTTGCTGAATAATGGGATATATTCCCACTTCTCCCTCCCATCCCCAGTGAGGCCATCAAGAATCCAGCCACATGTAGGACGCTGGAATTTCAGCCTGCTTAGGCAAACTGAGCAAAGCATGAAAGGGACCATTTCTGCATCATCGGCTGTCCTCAAGGACAAATGGAGTAACTGGTGTGCTCTTAATGGATGTAACTTGGCAGAGTAGAAGATGCTGCAGTACTGGCAAGCCAGATATGATGCTGGAGACAACACCTCCTTCCAAAGTTTTAGCCCAAGCCTAACTCAATCATTTGTATGCTTACAGCCATGGTCTCTATCAGAAAGGTAAGTCTGAAAGGAGGGGTCTAGAATAATGTGTCAGCATGTTTCCACATAGGAATTGATGGCCCCATGCAATCATAATGTGCTCCAATGAGATCCATGGCATGCCAACACCAGTCCATACGGCAGCTTTTCAGCCATTTTGGCAGATTTTGGTTGGTCCACTTGCTGACTATATTGATACTCTTGAAGAGTATCAAAACCATTCCCCCCCTAAATACATCTGGATTAGGGGCATATACAATGACTTTGTTCAATGCTGGGAATTTGATCTTGTTTACCTACACCAGTTTGATTCTAATGAAGAGTGCCTGTCGCTTTCATTTGCTCTACATTTTAGAGGGAATCATCATGATCTGCTTCTGCTGTACAACTATATAAATTGGAGTGGAGTTATCATTCACATTCCATACTTTTTCTGAATTACAGGGAGTCCTTGAGTTAGAAACAACCTGTACTTATGAACAAACTACCATAAAGCCTATTGATTTTTAAAAATTACTGCAGAAAATTGTCATCACCATACAGAGAAAGTGAAGGGGCAGAGAGGGAGGACCTTCAAAGCATCATCATAGAGAAAGAGGAGGTGAAAAGGGAGAGAGGGAGGCCTCCAAAGCAGGCCTTCCTGCCCTGCCTATTCAGAGAGGGAAAATCTCTCTTTTTTCTCAGAAAATCTCTCAGTTTCACAGAGGTCCTGGGCCCCTGATCCCCACAAATGTGGAGGGCTGACGATATGTGATCTGACTTACCTGCAAATTGAATGTAAAGATGAATTCCATTTTCACAGGAACAGAAATTGTTTGTGACTGGGGGAATGCCTGAAGTTCTTGGCTTGAAACATGTACCAAAACATGTATCAAATGCATATTTTAGGATAAAATTATGCATAAATGTGTACTTTGAGGGGGAAAATGTTCACAAGTGTATGTTTTGTGAGAAGATGTGTTCAAAATATGTATTTAATGGCATCTTTGTAGAGCTATGGTTTTTCTTAAGAAATCTACAGATTAATATGAGACAAAACAGGAGAATGAATGAGACTGGAAATAGACTGACACGTCCATTCCTACTTCTAACATAGTTCATCACAGTGAGTCACAAATATTGAGCATATTCTTCAACAAAACATAAATGATAAGCTTTAAATATTTTGCCTCTTAAAATTACTAAAATGCCAGTTCTGGAAATGTGTCTGATATGGCGGTGGGTCCTATATATTGCTTTGCAGATTACAATGCTACCTTAAAATATAACTGGCCAAGCTGGAAGAAGACAAGCTCTGGGGATGACCAAAGTGGCATTCCTGACACCCACTAAATTCTCACTGCACCTCCCAATCCTCAAAGCACTCTGCCTTATAAGGCACTCTGCCTCTGTTCTCTGGCCTGCTCTTACAGCACTGCCAACTGCACCCCAAGCCATACATGCTTTGGGGGAAACTTCTGTAGACGGGATGCAGAGATGCAGTGCTAGCACCTTTTATTAGCAGGAGTGTTGACATTAGTTGCCAACACCCTGAGAATGTCCTGCTCCCTCTGATTTAAGCTGAGCTGACAGCACAGGGAATCCTCGTCAAGAAGCTGGCAGGGGAATTAATTCTCCCAGAAGCTCTATATTGTTCCCTGTCACAATGCTGGCTCTTGGGCAAGGTACCCTTGCTTCTGGGGTGTCCCTCCTCACCAGCACTGCCACTGCCTGCTCATACTCCTTCTCGTCATTCCGTCAGGAGCTGGGATTTCTCCTTCATGCATTCATAGCCACATACCTTTCTTCACAACGTGTTCTTTATTAACCAATGCACACAAACACCCAGAATGAATCTCTGAGCATAGACAGGGTGGTTTGTTGAACCCGATCTAGTATTCATCTCCAGGAACTCTCCTTATGAGACTGTCTGACCCCCATCCCTTCAAGAGGGGCTTTCTGAAAACGAGGGCACCTCCTCTCCATGTGCTGATCCTTTAATTGGGCTGCCCTCCTCTGCTGCTGCTGTATCATGGGATCAGGAGCCATCTGTGTCTGAAAAACTCCCTTCTTGCCAACTGTACATTTCGGTTATTCCCAGAGATTGCCTGCCCACCTGGGGAATCTGATCTTGAGATAAGCTTTTCGTTTCTCTCATCTCCTAGTCTCAGCTCGGTCCATATTCCCAGACCCCCTCCTGTGACTCTCCTCTTCCTCCTCCTGATTCTGTTTCTTCTGGAGACCAACAACACCCCTGGAGCATTTGAGCCCAAAGCAGCCATCTTTCTCACTCCCAGTACATTCCTACCCCTGATTCACTGGTCAGGCAGAGAGCCACAGGGAATGGCACATGCTGCACTTTCAATAGTGAAGATGCAGAGCAAACCCAGAGAGCTCTTGTCAGTTGCCACCTGCTGAGATCCAAGCCCTGACACTGTATGAGGAGGTCCTTCCTTTTATTTGCCCCGAATCTCCCACCATTCAGCTTCAATACTAGAATACTGAATTCTAGTATTATGCATAATTGTTATGTATCTCCATCATGTCCTCCTGTACTTATCTTTTTCCTAAACTAAAAACCCTCTCAAAATGCTCAAGCTCCATTGTAACACCTATAGGGCTTAAAAAATGGAAAGAGCAAGTGAAACTGATAGACTTAATTTACCGAATCACTAGCCTCTATCACTGAAAATGCAGGCCTGGCATTCTTTTAAGGAAGGAGAAGGCTTATTTCTGTTGAGCTTTATGGGCGATAGATATAGCAAATACCTTGGTTTCTTGGAACAAAATGTGAGTTTGGTATTTAAGGCACTACCGTTTTAAAGAAATTGAATCATTCTAGTACCTCAGGAAGCACAGCAGGACAACGTGATGGCCAAGGACACATTCAAGGACTCCTGAACTGCATTATTGAAATGCATAATATTTGTTTTGCTTCTGATGATCCTATCAGGTGGTAATAAGGGCAAAATAGCTGTGGATTCTCCTTGGAACAGAGCTATGTTTTGTACCATTTTAGGACCGGTGTGATTAATCTATTACATGGAAATATTATTCCCCTAGAAGTTAACTTGAGAGTGGTAAATGGTCTTTATTTATCTTGGAGACAGAAAGAGAGAGAGAGAGAGAAGAAAAGAAACTAAAAATTACTGAAATCATACAAGAATTTTGTTTTCTTGTACTACTTCAGGAAATCAAACCTTTATACTTATTTACACACTCACACACACATCCAAAACTTAGAGCAGCAAAAGCAACCAATTCCACCCATCACCTCACCATTTCTTGGTTCTGATTTTTTCCCCACAATTTTGTCTAACCACCTCCTTCTACCACACTATAGTTTTTTCTAGGACTGAGGTGCCACTACTCCCATAAGTATTTGCCATAGTTAATTAACCTATGATTTCCCATGACACATACCACGATGCCTTCAAAGCTGTAACCCAACTGGAGGTCGCTCTGCAATGTCTAAACCTGGGTACTATGAATTAA